TACAGTCCACAGTCAGTTGTGGAAATGCCACATTCCTATGGAGTGAACCACCACAGAGTGAACCACCGAAAATGACAACCACATCAACACACAAACTTAAGACAATTTTCAAAACAAGAGCGAAATCAAACTCCATTCCATTAAACCTAATTTTCCCACTATTTCCTCCGAGTAAAACTTTGTCTGTACCATGCTTATTAATTTCAATGACTTAATGCTATAAACGTATATATTGCATACTATAATTATAAACTAGGTGAGGTGGACAAAGGTAAAAATTACATTGCACTATAGAAAGCATTTTTGGGGTTATGAATGATCATTAAATAAGAAATAATATACATATTGCACTTTTGCACTTTGACACGTGTTATTTTTTTCGTTATCAAATTATGTCTGAGGACTTATCTCACTGTGCGATTGCACGAGAGAAAAACAAGAAGTATGTTTTTTTCCCACGGTACATAGGCAATGACTAAACCACACAAAATATGTCCAATCTGATCATATCTCGAAAGCTAAGAAGGCTTGAGCCTGGACAGTCCTTGGATAATAGCCACCATGGACAGTTTTTATTTAATTTATAGGCTGCAGAGCTCCAGAGTGAAGTCTGACTGTTGATGAGACACTGCACGCCGAAACCGGTAAATACTTCACTTGTATTTGAATCAATGCATTTTCCGATGTTTTCAGTAAATCTAAATTTGATATTGGCTGCACCAAGCTGCAGCGTCACCACATTGATACTGGTGACGCTGCCCCGATTCGACAAAACCCGTTTCGGCTTAGCCCGGCGGAAAAACAGCATGTTAAATCGGCTGTGGATGACATGCTGGAGGCCGATATAATTTCTCCCTCCACTAGTCCCTGGGGTGCTCCAATAGTGCTGGTCAAAAAGCACGATGGCAGTCTTCGTTTTTGCGTTGATTTTCGGCGCCTAAATAAAATCTCGGTAGCGGACGCCTACCCTCTCCCTCGTATGGACGAGTCATTGGATGCCCTGGCAGGGGCGCACTATTTTTCCACCTTGGACCTTCTGTCGGGGTTTTGGCAACTCCCCCTCGGCGAATCGTCAAAACCTAAGACTGCTTTTCGGACACCACAGGACCTTTTCGAGTTTAATAGATTGCCCATGGGTCTCCACTCGGCCCCAGCGACGTTCCAGAGGCTCATGGAGCTGGTTCTCGCTGGGCTCCAGTGGGACTCATGTCTCATTTATCTTGACGATGTCATCGTCTTTAGCCGCACGTTCGGCAAACACATCGAATTGTTGCGTGCTGTCTTCTTGAAAATGCGGGCCGCTAACTTAAAATTAAAGCCGCAGAAGTGTCACCTTCTGCGTGAGTCTGTGCGCTATCTGGGCCACATAGTTAACCGCTCGGGCATCTCTACCGACCCTGAAAAAAACAAATGTGTTCAACAATGGCCGACCCCTACATCTGCGGGCGATGTTCGTAGTTTTATTGGTTTTGCGTCGTACTACCACCGTTTTGTTGCTGGCTTCGCGACGATTGCCAAGCCGCTCCACGCCCTTACGTCAAAAGGGGTGGCGTTTCATTGGGGGGGTGCAGAACAGGCCGTGTTCGACTCCTTGCGGAACGCGCTCGTGACGGTACCATCCCTTTGCATACCCCGATTTTTCCGTGCCATTCGTGTTGGACACCGACGCTAGCAATACGGGGATTGGGGGTGTTCTGTCCCAAAAAGTTGATGGCATTGAAAGGGTCGTTGCCTATGGTAGCAGAGTCTTGTCTCCTGCTGAACAAAGATACTGTGTGACCCGACGTTAGCTGCTGGCCATTGTTTTTTTTATTCAGCAATACAGGCCGTACCTGTACGGTCAGCATTTTACCGTGCGATCTGATCATTCGGCTTTACAGTACGCTCTGCGGGTTGACCAACCGTCCGGGCAGCTTTCTCGGTGGCTCGAAGTCCTTCAGGACTACGATTTCAATATCACTTACCGTAGGGGTGCACAACACACGAATGCCGATGCGTTGTCTCGCCTCCCGCCGGCTCAAAAATGTGCGTGTTTTTTGGGCTCGGGCCGTTGTAAGCCGCCACTGCCTGCGCAAGTCGCGCCTCTCAAAACGGTGTCAGTTGCGCTTCGCGCCACCTCAGCGCCGATGTCGGATCATGCAGATCCAATGGCCAGTGACGATTTGCTGGGGCTAACTTTGGCCGAATGGGGTCGGCACCAGAGCGATGACAGGTCGTTACTGCGGTTGCGTCGTCACACGAATAATGCGGCTCCACGACAGGGGAAATTCAATTCATTCGTCATGAAGCACGGTTTGTTGATGCATTGGGATGCTGACTCGTGTCAACATAAAATCGTCTTGCCATCCGCCTTGCGATGCAAAGCCGTATGGGCAGCACATGAGCGTTTATTACACCTGGGTGTTCATAAGACCATTGGATTGTTGCGGTTGCAATTTTTCTGGCCGGGCATGCTGCACGACGTAACTGACATTTTGCTGGGATGCACCCATTGCGCGCAACGTAAACCGCCGGTTAAACCGGCATGTCCACCCCTGCAACCCATTTCGGTCTCTCGTATAAATGAGTTGGTGGCTCTCGATATTTTGGGCCCTTTTCCTACTACGCCACGAGGGTAATAAGTACCTTCTGGTTGGGGTAGAGTATTTTACGCGGTGGCCTATGGCCTGGGCCCTCCCCAACCAGTCGGCAGCGGCCGTTGTGGACGCCTTTGTTCAGGGCTACGTCCTGGACAATGGCGCACCAGAACGGTTGCTGACCGATCAGTGAAGAAATTTTTCAGGAGCCCTGCTGAATTATTTGTGCCACCTGTTGGGCACAAAGAAGGTGCGCACTTCGCCCTATCATCCCCAGACCGACAGCATGGTGGAGCGCCTTCATAGAACTCTCACCGCTATGTTATGCCATCAGGTCGATGAATCTCACCTCGATTGGGACTTGCAGGTTCCGGGGGTCCTCGCCGCGTACCGCATGGCGCCTCACGTGGCGACGGGGTTTTCCCCGCTCTTTTTAATGTACGGCCGGGATGCCTTTCCTCCCGCCGACGTTCGACTGGAAATCGAACAGCCACCGCAAAATCAAAGCTCGTTGACCACTTGCGATTCAACCTCCAAAAGTTGGCCGAGGCACAGGAGGCTGCCATTGAAAATTCGGCTTCCCGCCAATGAGCGAATTTGCGACTGCGTGACCCTGAGACGTCCACGCATCGGTGGGCACCGGGAGACAGGGCATGGCTTCACTGCCCCCAGGTGCCGGTGTCTACATCGGCCAAATTCCTCAGGCCATGGTGAGGTCCGGTTGAGGTGGTGGAAGTCCTGCATCCCCAATGTGTTAAAATTCGCTGGGGACGGCGTCGCTGGTGCGTTCTCCCCTCTCGGTTGAAACCCTTCGTCATGCCGTGCGCCCCTCCACAACACACGCAACACAGGGGCCGAGTGTGCGACACGTCCGACGAGCCGGATGTTGCCCTGTTGGTGCCTAACCCGCAGCGCAGGCGTGACATCCCTCCTGCAGATGACACGGGAGTGACGGTTCCATGCAGGCCACGTTCGGCCTCAAGGGACCGTGGAGCATCAGGTGTCCCCGTGGAGATGCCTAAAGACCCACCGGATGTTCCTGCTCATCCTCCTCCTTCTCTTGTGCCGCCGACAAAGCCTGCCATCCCCTACGATGGTCCCGCGAAACACATGCGCGCGAAATCTCGCCGTTTGTTATGATGTTCTTTTGCCTTGTATATACGTTATGTTGTTAGGGGGGTATTTATATGGGGTTTTTTATTGTTCTTGTTGTTCGTGAGGCACACTCACAATTCTTCCACCGTTGGTAATTTCGGAAGTTTCCCATTGTTGCAGCCAGGACGGCTGGAGCTTCCGAAGGAGGGGGTGATGTAGCGGTGTTAACTACGCACTGTTGCGTAACCTGCATTGCCACCAGGGCAGCGCAGCATTACCTCTGGGTACAACGGTTGGGGTCAGTCGAGGTGAAACAGATCGTAGCCAGGGTTTGGTACGAACCAATCAGACGGTTCCACGTGGGAATGTATGATTGGTTCTACCTGGCCTCGAAGGAGTATAAGATGGGTGACCCAACAGAGCTCGGGGAGTTCTCTCCCTACACGAAGACAGAAGACTGGGCTGAAGCCTAGCTAGGACCCTGGACCAGCCTTCCAGCCCTTCTAAGGGCTAAGGCTCGGCATACCCAGTGGTCAGGACTCACCGGGCCAGCGGTGGGTCAGATAGCCTCCCCTAGGTCCTAGCCGGAGGACGCTAGGCTAGGATAGCGGTAGACGCGTGAGTCCCGCCAAGTCCGGAGGCTGTACCTCCTTAGGTATCAAGGAGGTTAGCGGTAGACGTGTGAGTCCCGCCAAGTCCGGAGGTTGTACCTCCCTAGGGTATCAGGTGAGGGGACCGTATATCCCTCTGTGTGTGTTAAGGATTGTATGAGGAAATAATACAATAAACAGTGTGCCTCCTAAGAAGTCTGCTCGTCCTTACAACACTACACATTGTCTTTAAAACGGATTGGTCCACACCAGAGACAGCTTTCTTTTGAGCCTCGTCTCAAATGGTGTTAGACCAGAGGACGCCAAAAGGCGTGAAGCAATGTTTGGTAACCACTCTAGTGTTCAGTTTTCTATACTTCCCCCACACCTCCGATTAGCACGGTTGGCGACGTACAGTGCAAACGAAGTTCAACGTACATACACACATAGACTCACACAGAGATCCATAGTTTATCCTTACCGCAAAAACCTCCGTATAGCACGGTTGGCTATGTATGGCGCGAAAGATGTTCAACATACATACATATCATAAAATAGACTCCTATAAAATCGACACTGCGACTGTAATAAAATATAGTACTCTTAACGACACTAAATGTATCCTAACATCAAAATAAATACATAAAACACAAGATATGCCAGCAGGGATCATCAACTCAAATGATATAACACTATTTTAAGTGTTTATTGCCAAAAGCCTTGACCCACAGCACACAGGTCTGCACTGACGTGTTAAACAGATCTGCACCTCCCCATAAAAAAGATAAAACTCTTTTCTTCTCTGAATGCGAATCGACGACATTGGTGAGGACCATTTAGAGCCCTCGTTTGGTGAACCATTGGCTGTTCTCGAGACCGGAGTGGGTAAACATTAACCCACTCCAGTCAATTGAAAAAGAAGGGAACCTTCGTTGTCCTGGTGGTAACACCGGCACTCAGCTATTGGTGGTCGCACCAGCAGCCGGCTCTAGACAGAACCCGTCTCTGCTCATATCGCATCGCCCCCCACCGTCTCGGGTGCTAACGGGTCCACCGCCCTCTCCGTGGAATTTCTTCTAGATCTAAAGAATTTGGATTTCGTGCACAAAAAATTAATAATAATAAATTATGTCCAGCATCGCAATGAATAAGTTGGTGGTGGCCTTGCTGGGGGTCCTCTTTGTGGGGATGCTCGCCACCATCATCGCTCTGTCAGTAGTCTACTCCAACGAGTTGAACGCCAACAAAGAGCCAGCTGCCCCTGCGCCCACCGAGAAGACAACACCGAAGCCCTCCGACATTACAACTGAGAAGCCAACAACGCAGTCAAACGAGAAGCCCACTCCGACTATTCGCCCCGGACCTTGGAAGAACATTCGCCTCCCTAAGAACCTGGTGCCCATCAGCTACAAAGTGAAGCTCTGGCCAAAGCTCGATCCGGACCCCGTGACCAAACTCTACACATTCAGCGGCGACTCCACCGTCGAGTTCCAGTGTCTAGTCCCAACGAGCAACGTCATCATCCACAGCAACAAACTCAACTACACCGTGAAGGGCAGCCACTTGGCTCTCCTCAAAGACTCCGCGGGGAACGGTGTGGAGGTGGCAAGCTCCTGGCTGGAGCCCAAGAACCAGTACCTGGTGCTGGAACTGAAGGCTCCGCTGCAGGAGAATGCGATCTACACGATGGCCACCGAGTTCGTGGGCGAGCTGGCCGATGACCTCGCGGGCTTCTACCGCAGCGAGTACACGGAGGAGACTGGAAATCGCAAGTACGTGTGTGTGTGTGTGCGTGCGGCCGGATTTATACTCACAGGGAATGAGGGGTGGAGGATATAGTCCCCGATAGGGGGTTCTCGCCCCCCTCAACATGGAAAACTGGGAGGGGGGGGGGTGATGCCAGAAACATAAAACACTTAAGGCCCCATTCAATTGTTTAGCTGCACACCCATAAATATTACGTACTATAAAGCTAATAACATCGTCGACCAATGGGCAAAAAAGAAAAACTTGATGGAGCGGTTTAAAAAAACTAAAATGATTCTGTAATCAGAGGTGGGGATTCCAACTTGTAACCTTGGTGCAGCCAACGAAGGCAACCGGCGCCCTCGCAGTCATCCCCCTACCCACCCCATTTTTCCGTGCACACCACCCAGCAATTTCACATCACACTCGCACACACGGGGAAACTACACTTGCACACATAAGACACAACCCTCACGCATTCAAATAGCCACAAGGCCCAGAAGGGATCGTGAGATTATGAGACCGATCATATTCACCTCTGGCCATGCTGTAATTGTGTTCGCACCTTTAAATGCCACACAGCCATCTTTGGTGGTCACTCGCCATCAGTGCAAGGTGTTGAGCACTAAGGCTGATTCGCACGTCGCTCCTGCGCGCCCTTACACTTGCATTGGTACGCACTGCATTTGTTTTTAATTGTGCATGGGAAAAAATTATTACAGCCGTTGGTTATATCGGTAAAGGTGGACCAACTCGGAATGTCAGTGATGATATCAGCTCAATTTCCGGCAGTGTGATGGACTGGAGGATAGATGGGGACAGTGTGGAGAGCCCTTCATCCAGCAGTGGATAGACTATAAAGACACTGCCACCACCGTCTCGGTGATACATGTAGGCTACTGTTAATATTCAGAAATTTTCTAGTCTCGAAAAGGGGTAGGAAGTCGACAAAACGTACACACAATCTACCATGGAAGCACAAAATGAATCATATCAGTTGCTCTCCAAAAAGTACGGCTTCGAGTACGATATTCAATGTTACTAATCCGTGCTGCCCGTTATTCTGCCTACTGCCTCCATGCTGTTCCATCCTCACTGATCATATCTCACCACTACACTCTCCTTGCCCCCTCACAGGGTTTTGGCCACCACGCAGATGCAGCCCACGGACGCACGCAAGGCCTTCCCGTGCTTCGACGAGCCGGCCATGAAGGCTACATTTGACGTGACGATTAAACACAAACCCGAGCACAAGGCCATCTCAAACATGCCCATTATAGGTGAGAAACCCCACGATCACAATTATTGTCATGCTCGTCCAGTGGCCTTGCTATTGAGTGCGCAGGCGGTGAAACTGCACCAGGGGAAAAGTGCTAGGCTATGAAGAGGGAGGGATATTAATGGGGCCACATTTTATGTCTTGAACCAGGGCCCAATACAACCAAGCAGCATGCCCTGTTCACCATTATCTTATTCACAAGTGAATCTATTATGAACAAAGTGTGGCCATTGGATGTGCAGTGGACTTGGTCAATCCACGTTCATTTTCTGTCGTTATGTTCGCAATGTAGACTTATTGCGGAAATGATAACAATTAACGGCGGGCCCGGTATCTGGCAAGGCTTTAGGTTTCATCATGACATTTCCAAAACAAAGCATCATTCTCAAAAGCCTTTTCAGTTGTACGCACACTTGAAAGGTCTGAGCCGCGAGGTTGTGGCGAGGCAGCCATTCAAGAATGTCAGAAAAAGGCTTACAATGTCACTTCCAGATCATTGCCTCATGCTGCATGCAGATTCTGCTTTCAGTAGGTCTGAATGGAAGTGAAAATGCTGTACTTTGTGCTTTTGTTCTAGACAGCGAAATTGGAAAATAGGTAAAAAAAACTGTAAACAATTATCACGACAAAATTAAATTGTTTCAATAATAGGCAAACACTCTTCCCGTCATCATGCACCAGTCACCGATTTATTTTCCCAAAGTCCATGAGAGCACTGGACCAGTTTTAAAAGCTGTCCTGGACTCACAGTAATATTTTGAAAAGTTTAAACGTGTTCAGTTTAAGTTCACGGAAATGCAGAGCTGGTTTATATCAGTGATGGTGCATCAATTTGCTTCCAACTTTGATGATGACACTATTATACATTTCCAGATGAAAAAAACATCACAGAAGGGGCAATTACCTGGAGAGAAACCACGTTCAACACAACTCTCAAGATGTCCACCTACCTGCTGGCCTTCATCGTGTGCGAATTTACTTACATCGAGAAAATAGAAAACGGCACACAGGTGCGTATTGAACATTTACTCAACTAAAATCACATTCCATGTCTGTGGCTTGTCCCAGGGTAGGAGTGAGAACCTAATGCCCGTTGTCAAAATTATTTCTCCATCACGTTCCTTGACCCCAACAGGAATTGTTAACTATCTATGCCTAACTAGGTGGTCAGTGGACAACGGCGAAGATCCAAAGCAGAAAAATTATTCAGATTCTAACTAACATTGTCTAGGTACAAATCCCATTATGGGAGAAAGTGTTTGTCTGCCACGTGTTTCAATAACCACGCACAAGATGAGGTCAATCGAGGCAACATATGCACATGATCCTCTTGTGACAATGTAGCACTCAATCCACTGCCATGAGGTTCCACTGGATTCGCCAGACTTGCATTGGATGTGAAGCTATAGCCCAAGGAGACAGCAGTGTCTCTCAAGAATCTACAAATTGTGCTTAGTCGATAAACGAGACAAAGCATCGGCTAACGTCACTCTTATCCCGCGCGCGTGTGTGTGTGTGTGTGCAGATTCGCATTTGGGCACGGCCGCAGGCGGTGGACGATGGCCAGGCAGACTATGCCCTCAATATCACCGGCAACATTCTCAACTTCTTTGCGGATTACTACCAAGTGGCCTACCCGCTTCCCAAGTCTGGTAGGCATCTAACTAAGTGCCACATTGTGTGCGCACCAACTCAGGGTGCTTCTAAAACTCCAGTCCTCAGACAACCATCGCCAGTGCTCCACTGGTGCAATGTATGCTGCGTGAGATTGCCTGGTGGTGGTGTGTGACTTGGGGTAGGTAGTGCCGTGCGACTGTTGTACGAGTGGGGTCGTCTTGTGCAGTATTTCACTGATGGCCACATGGCTGTGCAGTCTATATGCTGGCTACTGCTAATAAAACATACTACAAAATCACACACAGTATATAAAGTAATTACCCAGTGCTGGATAACTTTTAATGCATGACCAGATGTTGCATTGCCACACTAGGGCTTGCCTTGTATGCAGTGCGTAACATTCCATTGGACTGTGCTACACACTACAACATCTGTGCTCCCCACATTCACCAAGGTGGACTGCCCACTGTGGTGACATTTGGTTAAAAAAAATAATCCCCACGGCGTGCATCCAGGAGCTGACTGACCAAATTTGGGTAATGAGGCAACTGACCAGGCCAAAGCCAGACAGCGGTGGTGCATGCCTATAATCCAGCACCGTGGAGGCGAGGGTTGGTGGCTCACACGAGTGTTGCAAAACTCCCTCTCCAGGCGTGCCGAGGTGCCATTACCCTGGCTTTCCTGCAAAAGGAGGTTCAGCAAAACGCGGAGGAATTTAATATGCCTTCTGTGTGGGATCGAGTATTGCCCCCTCGCACGTGTAGGTTTTCACCGGGTGCTCTGGTTTCCTCCCACATGTGTAACAACTGATTAATTGGATGAAAGCATATTAATGTATATGTAGAGGACAACAGAGCTTGAACAATTGGTGTTGGTTTATTTATTGTTCACCCAGGATAGGCCGTATTAGAAAGAAAAAAAAAAGCTTTTGTTCAAACGTTACCCCAGGGGGTATGGGATTACAGAAAAAAAATACACAATGTTATCGAAAATCTTAGTACAGAATGTAATTGAAAACTCAAAATATAACAGAAAACAAATGGAAACTTACTCTAAGTTGATATTCAGCATTAGTGTTCTAGCATTCTTAAATGAAAACAAAACAACACTAATGGACATGCATTCTGCAGAACGGAAAAAAATCACCACCAAAAAACCTCATTGCCTAGCTGCCTTCTAGCTCGTCTGTGGTTCCTCAGCAATTGCGAGAAGCAATTCGCATGAACCACACACACTATGAACACCAAATAAAACTTACAAATGTTTGAATCATGATCGTATTCACGTCCTGGGTCTACGAACGCCGCGCAGGACTGTTGTAAATTGGCATCCTCTTCTGACGAGTTCTAACTCCTGGTCGGCAGCTCACGAATCTCGGCTGTCCCGTGCACCCCAGACCAGATCGCGCTGCCGGACTTTGCCGCCGGCGCGATGGAGAACTGGGGCCTGGTGACGTACCGCGAGACGGCGCTGCTGTACGACCCGGTGCAGTCGTCCAACGGCAACAAGGAGCGCGTGGCTTCGGTCGTGGCGCACGAGCTGGCGCATCAGGTACCGCAACACGGGCACTGTGGTGCGCGACCCTGCTGCTGCTGCTGCTCCTCTCAAAGAGAGACCGCTGCTTCCAAACCAGCTTCGTTCGTTTTCAGGCGAAGGCTAACGTCAATGGAGAGTGACGTCTGAATTGGTCCCGGGCAGCCTGCCTTGGCAAACCACGCTATTATGTATGTATTTGTGAATGCTATTACACATTTAGAGCATCAGCTACACAGGAGAAATAGGCCGCACTGAACCAGCATGAACAGACGGACAATGGGCTGTACTTTAGAATACTATCCATAACTGTGACAGCAATTTGACACAAACGGCAATACAAAGTAAAGTGCTACATAAATGTATCCTAACTTATTCGATTAAAAAAAATAATGCAAAAAGGGAACCACACGTGAGTAGCTAAGAGTTAAGCTGTAGGGTTGCGGTGAAAAAGAACACCGAGGCTCTTGAAATCCGTCAGAAATGGGCATTCTTAGAAATGAAAATCCTTTCCTGTGCAACTATGTACATAATGCACAACTGGAATAGATCATATTCTTTGGGTCTTTCGGTAAAGTCACGTAAATAGAAATATATCATGTTGCAGGCAAATTAAATCTTGAAAGCGGTTTGACCACTCGAACAAACCTTTGTTGCTATCTTAACTCCCAGGTCATTAATTTCCCATTACACAGGCCATGGCAGAGGTAGATAGCTTTAAAAAAAAAAGCTTTCATTGACTCTGCAAAAAGCAGAGTTTAAACAAATTCAGTTCAATTTCACTTAGATACTGAGGCAGGCGATTACAAAGACGTTGACCTTCAATCCATGTCTCATGGCAGCAGTGTTTGCAGACTTGAGGTCGTGGTAACTCAGCTCATAGTTTGCGGACCAATAATCTTAAATGCCCATCACCAAACCTTCACAGGAGTGTACTCAACTTGGCACACTACATATCATAATATTATTCACACCTCCATGCTTTTGGAACCGCACATTGATGGGCCCGACTTTTGTGAAAGACATTCAACATACTGACATAAATAATATATTCATAATAAAGGTTTTTGGGTTAGATCGCGTTATTTATAAATGTGTCGTAACGCTCCACCACCCGACACGGCCAATCAGAAAAAAAGTGTCACATTGACAAAAGACAAATAATTCACTACTTTAGCCCACCGGTGTGTTGAAGAGTGAACAACATTTACAGGAATAATTCACTCTTCAACACACCGGGTGGGCTAAACTGTGTTGAAGAGTGAACAACATTTACAGTAATAATTCACTCTTCAACACACCGGGTGGGCTAACCTAGTGAATTATTTGTCTTTTGTCAACGTGACACTTTTTTGCTGATTGGCCGTGTTGGGTGGTGGAGGGTTACGACACATTTACAAATAACGTGATCTAACCCAAAAACCTTTATTATGAATAATATTGGTCGCGAAAGCCTGCTACGTGTTGAATAAATAATATAGACTGTGATAACATGCATATGTTTTATGTTCACCGCTGAATGCAGTGGTTCGGGAATCTGGTCACGCTGAAATGGTGGAACGACCTCTGGCTCAACGAGGGCTTTGCCAGCTACGTGGAGTATCTGGGAGCAGACTATGCTGAGCCATCCTGGGAATTGGTAACTCGCGATCATGACAGTCTACTCACATCATCTATATTTATCTTCTTATTTTTGTTCCTTTTACCACGGAATGATTCATCTATATTTTACACGCGAGACAATGGCCCATGGCATCTGAGTAATATTTAATTCATGATAATCACATTTATATTTTAAATTTTCAGCAATGGAATCTTGCCAGATTAAGTGTAGAACCACACTTATTGTGCCGCTTTTTTTTTTAGTCATTGGCTGAAACCATTAACTCACGACACTTACAAATTCCGTGTAACCACAGGCAGCTGCCTGAATTTGAACCCACGATCTCAGCAATGCGGGCTCAATGATCTAAAATCTGACCTCTGATCCACCCAGCCACCTCATCAGCATTCCCTATTATTTGCTTAAACGTATCATTTACTCAAGAGTTGAGTTTATCACTTAAAAATGCCAACATACCTCGAGTATGAGACAATTTTTGCAAATTATGAGAATGTGACAAGGAGCAAGCATACGTAGAGTAATTGTCTTTTCAAGTGCTTGTAAAATGTTGCGCAAGAGGCTTGGAAAAACAGTGTTTACTCTGTTCTTCTCTGATGGTCTGCCGCATGAGAAAAAAATGAAAAGTAATAAAAAAAACCTGAACAGTGTTTCCACTCAGAAATGACGAACAGCATTCGTTCCCTGTTTGCAACAAACAGAAAGATCTCTTCGTGATGTCGGACCTGCACCGCGTGTTTTCCACGGACAGCCTAGTCTCCTCTCACCCCCTGTCTTCTGCTGAAGAGGACATCAACACACCGGGAGAAATCAATGAGCTTTTCGACTCCATCTCCTACAGCAAGGTAGTGGAGCAGTCACACTCATTCATGCGGCCTTCCAATAACAGCAAAACAACTTTAAGACCTAAAGTGACGGCTGTTTTTGTACATCCTTACCCCGGCCCATGAGCACACCTCCGATTAGCGCGGTTGGCTACGTACGGCGCGAAAGAAGTTCAACATACATACATACAACATGATGCATGGTACCAATTATATGAATAATATTAATAATTAAATGAACCTTATGGCGGGACCCCGGGGTCCCATAAGCCCCCGGCTCTCACATAAACTGCGTTGCGAGGTCATTTTATGTCTGTCGAAGGCCAACGATATGGCAATCTATTCCTCTCAATGAGCTCTACACGATGCGCTCATCAAAGTTTTGTTTCTTCTGCGCATTTATTCCTCGCTGCTGCACTTGGACGACACGACAGAATGATCCGTGCCAGGCGGGTCGTGGCGTTTGTGTGCGGTGGGACGGAGTCACAAAAAAAAATGAACTAATTACGATTTTGACATCCGTTTATTCGGGACCCACCATAAGATTCAAATACCTGTTAAAATCAAGTAATTACGCATGGTTATATTTGATACCTATCCTGGATATTACGCAAAAACTGCTTTGGTGATGGTGTCACCTAAACAACACTGTGGAGAGAGGCAAGGGGAGATATCAACAATCCTTTCCTCGTTCCTGCCTCAAGAACTTGCGTACAAAGTTCGGTGTTGTGAGGTGAAGAGGGCTAGGGGTTGAATAAGATGGGAAGGAACCTGATCTGTGGACCTTCCATTGGTCAGACAACTTATGCACAATACCTTTTAATCACCGGGCGTATAAGTAGGGCTTTAACAATTTTCAATGCAATCAGCTGTCATAATTTAGGGTTGAGTTTTTATTTTAAAATTAAATATTTTATTATCATTGTCGTAAATTTAGTGGTCTTAAGTGGATGGAGGGAATGTGACTTTATTACATGCAGCAATTAAATCATATTGATTTTATGCAAGTATTATGAACTTAAGATATAGTAATTGGTGAATGTATGCAACATGACACCCCTACTTATGAGGGTTCATGTGTGGGCTTTTAAAGTTTTAGATCAGTGGATGTACCCAAATGTATTTAATTGTTCAGTGTTGTGTATATGCTTGAGATTATAATGTTTGGTGTTTGTTCAACCCTTTGAGCCTATGTGACAGACATCTCCCGTCCATTTGACCTGCTGCCTTGTTCTGTGTTCCTTCTTTCTCATTTCAGGGGGGATCTGTGCTCCGTATGTTGTCATCATTCCTCACTGAGCCTGTGTTTGTAGAAGGACTAAACGTAAGTCTATCATCAACAGCAAAGGGTCCTTCAATTTACGGACGATAATTCGTTCTTGAAAAGTTCAGCAACATTCGCATGACGTATGTGCATGTTCAATATGTGATGTCCAAACCACGTGTTTATGCTTCGCATGTGTGCATGCAGACTTACCTCCTGGCTCATCAGCTCAGCAATGCAGCGGTGGATGACCTGTGGCATCACCAGCAGCAGGTGAAGAGTCACACTGGCACCGCGATGCGCACGCAAACAGCTATCCTTGACAGGCCCTACTGCCTGCAACAAAGTGAGAATAGTATCCAAGAAGAGGCGGCCAAGCGGCCGTGGTATTTAACAGCACCTTAAGTGCTCTTTGGTTCATATTCTTGGTTCTTTCGGTAAAGTCACGTTGAAGGGAAACAATAAAATAATAAAATATATATAAAACAATACAATTCTCACGACGTTTCCACTGCAACACAAGCAGTCATCATCAGGTGTGAAAAGCAACGGCAAGAACATTTGAAAGAAGTGGCGGTTTAAATCAAAATTTACTCTTTGGTTCTTTCGGTAAAGTCACATAGGTAGAAAAAATAACAGACGACAACGTTTCGATCGCAACACAAGCAATCGTCATCAGGCCTGATGATGATTGCTTGCGTTGCGATCATCAGGCCTGATGATGATTGCTTGCGTTGCGATCGAAACAACGGATCACGACAGTTCTAGGCCTGATGACGATTGCTTGCGTTGTGATCGAAACGTCGCGATCTATTTTTTCTACCTATGTGACTTTACCGAAAGAACCAAAGAGTATGGATTCCTGCAGTCACGAAAGCTTCAAATCAAGATAGCACCTTAAGTGTTCAACCAACGTATCCGAGATCATGGTTTCAATCACTGGACTTGCACTCAACATAAAAATCACGTGAGGTAGTCCAGTAGCTTAGAGGTAAGAGCAGCGCCATTGAGATGCTGGGTTTTTAATCCAGGCACCCAACTGTAATTAAATCAGGTTCTCAAATTTATTGAGTTGATGGTGTAAGCCCAGTCGCTAATGACTGCACACACACAAAAAACTATCACGTAAAATTTAGCTCTGCAAATAATGGGGAATTTTATAGCTCTGAGAATCAAACGATCAGTTTTACTGTCATGCTATGAACATTACTCCAAGTAGGAAGATGGGTAGGAGAGTGCTGCTACCTACTGTGTGGAACAGAGATCACTTGAAGGGATCGCAGAGGTAGCTCTCTGATGTCTGCTTCCATGAGCCATTCTCTACAAGAGCAGGGTTTAACTTTACAACTGTTGTGAGATCTGGTACAAAGAAGTTGATGAAGGTGAGGTGTGGTGACATCAAAACATTATCCCAGACATTTCTCTTGGTCTTCAGTTTCATTGACTAGAATAGTAGCCCTCATATAAACTTACTTCTCAATCGCAATGCACGCGAATGTGATTTATTTGACTGGATAGTTGGCCAACCGCAAATGTCCGATTGTCGGTGCAGGCGGTGAACAAGAACAACGTGATCCTCCCAAAAACGGTGAAAGAGATCATGGACACATGGACGCTCCAGATGGGCTACCCTGTGATCAAGCTCGATACGAGCAGTGGCAAGGTCACCCAGAAGCACTTCCTGATCGATCCCGAAGCGGTCGTTGAGCGGCCATCGCCCTTCAAGTGAGTATCCCCGTGTAGCTCCTGCTCACAGGATGAACACATCATACAGTGAACCTCAGACAACACCTGAGTCAGTTTGCAAGAATCGGTGCTTGTGTTGCCCGTATTTTCTTAGCGCGCAACACTGAAACAGTACAGGTATCCCTTGATTTACGGAAGGGATGTGCTCTTCAAGAAAATAACGTAAAACTAAATTTCGTGAATCGGAATAAGCTTTTCTCATTAATTTAATACGAAAAATTAGATACGTGTTTCAGACGGTCATTCCAACTCTACTCCTAAATCTACAAATATACACACCAATGTTACTTTTCACAATACCACAATTATAAAGAACAGAAAGATGAAAGCGATTGAATAATAATTTAAAACAAAAATAATTAACCTTTTCTGGGAACTCACCAAAAGATCTGCATGTTGGAACGACTGGCAAGGTGATGTGGAGGCGTTACTGTTGCCCTGCAGCGATACCGTGACGCTCTCGCAGATAGATGACGCAGCCTTCCCAGTGGTTCTTGTTTGGTCCCATGTCACGTGAAATTTCGTGAACGCAGCAATTCGATTTCGTTAATCAGAAAGTGCCCGTAATTTGTCAATTCTGTTGTTTGCGAAATTTTGTAAAACTGAACTTTCGTAAATCGAGGAATACCTGTAGAGTATTCTGTGGATGGAGTTGGAGTGGTGGCACATTATGCTGTGAATATGTAATACAACCGGAGTTCTGATTCCCTGACATGGCTACCATAAGGAGGAGATATATGAACCAGTCCTAAACCCCTCTGCCTCACCAACCCACACTGACCAGTGTGGTGAACTATGGTCAAACAACGTCTATGGCTGACAACTTGGGGAGGCCTTCATCCAGCAGTGGATTGACAAAGGGATACACATTCATAGACATCAAATATCCTTTTTCATCACAATTCTCTGGTGTAAACCATCTTGTTTTAGGATGGTCCAAAGTTTAAAAATGTGAAATTTAGCTTCAATGGGTATGCTTAAATGGAAAAACAAAAACTTCTCCAATGGGAGCTGGGTAAATTAAAACTATCACTGAGAATACATGCCGTATTAAGACATTTGAAAAAAGTTATGTTCTGCGACAACTGAATTGCGAGTAAAATTTATAACAACCAATGTTTCTACAGTTACCTGTGGGATGTGCCCATCACGTGGATGAAGGAGGGATCCAATAGCACTGAGTGGTTGCTGGGAGTTCGAGGTAAGCACTTGCCTATCATGTTTCGATTTTTTTCGTCAATATTCTTTGACAGGGATTGAGTCATTCATAGTTTGTCAAATGCAAGTCATGCTAATAGAGACAACATTGTTCTGTAATTTTTCGATTTAAAGCTTTCGTGACTGCAAGGAATCATCTTCTTTGGTTCTTTCGGTAAAGTCACGTAGAATGAGAATAAAATAATAGCATAAAACAATAAAATTCTCACGACGTTGGATTGACAAAGGTTTGTTCATTGTAGCTCTGTCGTCCCGACAGGTTTGTTCCTTTCACCTGAAGAAGGCCACTTGTGTTGTGGCCGAAACGTCGTGAGAATTCTATTGTTTTATTTTATTATTGTATTCTCATTCTACGTGGCTTTACCGAAAGAACCAAAGAAGATGTTCTGTAATTTTGATTTAAAGCTTTCGTGACTGCAGTAATTCATATTCTTAGCTCTTTCGGTAAAATGGTCGAAACGTCGTGAGAATTTTTATTGTTTTATATATATTTTATTGTTTCCCTTCAACGTGACTTTACCGAAAGAGCTAAGAATATGTTCTGTAATTGTTTATCAAGTAACTATTACGTGTGAGCCAGTTCTACTTTCAACGTTTTAATGTTTGAAACATATGTATGGAGAAACACTTGCTTGCGCAGTCTCTTTCATTTTCCCATTTACTCATTCAGTTGTGAACCTATCAAACTGCAAGCAGCAATATCTCTCTGGTCCCTGTTACCCATGTCCTTGTTACCACTCATTGGTTGCCACGTATGACGTCAGAGGCTACCATTTCTGCGCTTAAAAGTAATGACGAATGGATCCTGCTCAACATTGATGAAGTTGGATACTACCGCGTCAACTACGATGTCGCCAACTGGAATCGCTTGCTGGATGAGCTGAAAACTAACCTCGAAGTACGTGAATTAAACACAATAATAACACTTTCATTTTCTATATCGCCGTCATTCATGCCAACAGCATCCCACAACGATGTACATTCATAATATTTAAGGGCCAAATCCCATACACAAAAGTTGGTTACACGTGGCGCAAAAGAAGCCCAACGCAAATGATAACCCCGACTACCAAGCAAAATAAAAAAATGAATAAACAAATTAAGAAATGGCACCAAAACAAAAAGCACAAACAACAAAAAAGGTATAAAAATAAAGAAATTAAATTTCGATTTAAAGCTTTCGTGACTGCAAGGGTTCATCTTCTTTGGTTCTTTCGGTAAAGTCACGTAGAATGAGAATAAAATAATAAAATAACACGATAAAATTCTCACGACGTTTCGGCCACAACGCAAGCGGCCGTCTTCAGGTGAAAGGAACAGACCTGTCGGGACGACAGAGTTTCAATGAACGATGTTAAGATTCGTAGCGACTTTTAAGCTGGTTGGGAGAAGTGAGGCACCTTGACAAAGGGGTTTACATATCAAATAGCTTGTGACTGGTCACAGAGGCAACTCGTTGCCTCTGTGACCAGTCGTTGCCTCTGTGGATGTGTAGGTTTTGATTTTAACATAGCCATTTCTGTAACCAGTCACAAGCTAATCCCTCAGCTATTTGATATGTAAACCCCTTTGTTAAGGTGCCTCACTTCTCCCAACCAGCTTAAAAGTCGCTACGAATCTTAACATCGTTCATTTAAGCTCTGTCGTCCCGACAGTTCTGTTCCTTTCACCTGAAGACGGCCGCTTGCGTTGTGGCCGAAACGTCGTGATAATTTTATCGTGTTATTTTATTATTTTGTTCTCATTCTACGTGACTTTACCGAAAGAACCAAAGAAGATAAAGAAATTAGTCCATTAGGTCTCAACTTCACAGACCACAATCCCACCTTCCCAACCAAGCCACGAAACCTTTACAGGAGGGCGCGGTGGAGTGCCAAGATTTTATGACAAATAGATCGAAACAGATACAATGTATTTGTAGAAACATTTGACAATCCACTGTTGGATGAACGCCTCCCGATTTTGTGCTGGTCATGAGAGTTATTTCACCATACTTCACCATGCCGCTCAGCGTGGTTTTGTGAAGGCAGGGAGAATAAACGTGGGAGCACAGAGTACAGTCCACCAATGGATATTACAGCACTGCCCTCTGCTACCCAAAACGTAACCCCGCAGCAGCCTATAAGAACCTGCTGTGCAAGGTGGTCACTATGCACAGATACGGCGCATTCCGTTTGATCTTGCCATCGGCATTATATCGGGTCACCTTTGTATAGATTCATATAAATGGTAGAGAAAACATCTTCAAAGCTTCAACATATCTCCCACCAATCTCAATTCGTTAATTATATCTGTTAACACGCTTCTCACACACAGCCAGTGTGCTTTACTTGCAACGTTCGATGATGCATAAACAGAGATAACTGAAATATTGTGGATTTGTGACCGACGCAAGCGCTCTATGATGTAAAACCACAAGGGAAAAAAAAATCCATTCGAGCTGTCAGGTGAATGTGGGAAGTCGGACAATTATCCCACCTCGGCCAGTCCAACAGACAAATGTTTCCTGTAACTAACCACGTGCTGCACGACACCAGGGTCATTATGCTTCAGTGAGTGGGGTTTCTATACATGGAACACGCAAAAGCCTATTGACAATGGTATATATTAAAAATGCAAAAAAAATACAGAGGAATGGTGACGCTCATGAGGAACTCTTCTGAGCTGTACTTAACATTTAAAAACCGATTGCATTTTATTGTTTTCAGGTGATACCCGTGATCAACAGAGCACAAATCATCGACGATGCCTTCAACTTGGCCAGGTGAGGACAATAATGAGGTCACAGGAAGCCCAGCTGCAGCACATAAAGTTGCATAATAAACCTGTACATATTATGTCAACGTTATCAGCCATAATCTATTCACTGCTGAATAAAAACCTCCAAGATATTTCGCCATCTCTTATAACGAAGGATGGAGAGTTGTAGGCTTGAAACTGCACTGAGAGACAGAAAGAAGAACACGTGCATGAGAGAGCATATGCAAGTAGACATTATATTGACTTCATAAATGTAATTGGGCTTCGGCAGGACACTATATTACGAGAATGGAAGGTGGGCAAAGGGAAGAGACTGGTGAGAGAATGGCAGCCAAAGAAGTGAACAGTCCTGAGAGAAAGGCCCACTCAGAGATGGAGCGATGAGCTCAGCTCGTCAGATGGAGCAAAGGCATGGATGTTCTATCCCCAAAAAAAAAGCAAAATTTTCAAACTACAAGCAAACCTAATCCAGAATATTATTTCATTGTCCTCTTCCTCCTACCCACCCACTGCAGGGCAAAACACATAGACGTGGAGCTGGCTCTGAACACCACACTCTACCTGATTGATGAGCGCAAGTACCAGCCCTGGCAGGCGACCATCTCCAGCATTTCCTACTTCAAGCAGATGCTTGACCGCTCTGCGGTATTCGGGAACATGCAGGTATAACACACGCAAACATCTATAATGCCGATGCAAGCATCAGCGCAGGTACAACACATTAACATGTGTGCCAGATAGCAATTTTGTAAGTGGTATTGAATAAGGACTAAATCATACTAAAAGCATCTCTAATTTGATCCATATTTGTAAAGGGTAACAGCCAGCCTATCCAGCTGTTTGTAAATGTGGGTTTGTAATACGACTTTGAATGTTGCGTCTCAATCCGTATGCAGAAATACATCCTGCAGCAAGTCTTACCACTGTACAATTACTACGATGAGCTTGTGAGCAGCAACTGGAACGATGTCCCACCAGGGCATGCCGATCAGTGAGTTGCAAACCTCTCAGCCATATTCGCAAACAATACACTCAATCAATAAAGAATTAAAGCTTTCGTGACTGCATAAATTGCTCATTGGTTTTTTTGGTAAAGTCACATATGTGACATACGTGACTTTACCAAAAAAAACAATGAGTAATACACTCAATCATTTAAGTCTGGCAGCAACATACAAAAAAATACAACATTTGAATTATAAATACAGGTGTTAAGACATTCAACTACAGGTGTTTGAACATTATAACACCTGTATTTATGCTAGGAAATGCAAATCCTTTTTAACCATTCAATAACTTGATACTGGCAAAAGGGTCCCATAGAGATACAAACTTTGTTTGAAACAATTTACAGGTATATCATGAATTTCTACCTGTGGTGTCAGATGTAGCGTATACTATTGCACTTCAGAGTTCGGTTCTGAAGATGGAAACAAGGTGACGAGACACTGTGTTTTGAGTACTAATATATATTATAGGACTTATTTTACAATATATGGGCGCTGTGATAATTGTTCCCCAATAACTTGGCTTTAAATAAGTAAACAGTATACCTATAAATTATAACCAATGCCAAAAGTTAGTTTGAACTGCCAAAAATATATATATCTCGTTCATAATTGTAAATGGAAATATCTGTGTGCAATGCATGACTCGACATGCTTTTAACTTCCTGAAACAACTGACGTGCAGGTATAACCAAGTCAACGCCATCTCGCTCGCGTGCTCCTACAACCATCCCCCCTGTGAGAAGAAGGCATCCGATACATATAAAGCTTGGATGGAAAATCCTACCAATAATTTGTAAGCCGTCCAACACTCACAGAGCTTTCGTTTCTTTCGTATTTGTAATTGCAAACAAGTCCGATTGTATTTCATTTGTAAGTAAATTGCATGCTGCTTGTCACATTGTTTTTCATTAACACAACACGGAACAAAGTGGGCTCATAAAACTTTAAAACGGAATTGAATGTGTTGAGAGCAGGAGGAGCTGTAACTTATACTGGAAGAGTAACTCCGGATATTACACAAGCAATCTGGTGATATCACCCACTGCTTAGTGATAAAATTAGGCCACAATGTTGGCATGGTAATTTAAAAAATGTTGTGGCCAAGGTGTCGGAACAATGGTCATGGAACACAAGTTGGTGCCCCACCTCCATAAAAGAAGAATAACATATATAAATAGTGTGTTTATATTTATTTATAACAAAAGAATGGTTAAAATAACCAATAATACGTTTTAAAATGTGCACCAAGTGACTAAATTCAGCCAAGTTTTTTGGCATATTGAATCGATTCGGATTGAAGAGGTTAAAATATAGATCAAAATATGGGTCACCCGGGTCAGTTAGGGAAAGCCATATTGCCCTCCCGCAAACGCTTTTTGTTCTGACAGCTACCAGTCGGCTTCTGTACTGACAATTCATAACTCCCGAAGGCAAACGCACCTGGCAATTAATGACACAATGCATGCATGCGTGCGTGTGTACTGCGTGTTCATGATTTTTCCTCACACATTGTCTTTTTTGTTTGTGCCCACGTCGCCGCGGTGTGCAGTATCCACGCGAACCTCAAGTCGACGGTGTACTGCGCGGCGATAGCAGCGGGTGGGCAGGCGGAGTGGGACTTTGGTTGGAAGATGTTCAAGGAGACGTCGCTCGCCACGGAGGCCGATAAACTCCGGGATGCTCTGGCTTGCAGCAAGCAGACCTGGATCCTGAACAGGTGCTGCCAACGTACACGCAGATTCTTCTGACATCTCTCGGAATCGTTCATTAACTCGGAAAGAGTCAACTAAAAGTGCCAAGGCCCAACACTGTTTTTTTTTTTTTGTCAAGACAGCCCTGCCTGGGATGTTTAGTGAAGACCATTTGAAGTAAATTTTGCCAGTAAGGGAACATTTTAGCGTGCGAGAAAAAAAAAACCCAAAGGAACAACGTGCAATGACTTGTACTTACTCTGGAAGTGATACAAGTAAATTAACTAGTTCTTAAAATTAGAGAATTATAGCTATTGCTTGCTCGTCAAGATAGTTTTTTTTAACAACGGTCCTCATGTATTTCCAAAAAGTGATACAATTCTTGGGTTAAAATTCGATCGCAGAAATTGAGCTGATGAATACAAATGCAAGCATTTTATCCATTGTGGATATTTAATCAATAAAGTTCAATTCAGGAGAAGTAAACTTGTGTGCAGCAGTCAGTTGTGCAGATAATCAAATACGAGACACCTATTAGCAAGTGCAGTGTGATGTATGCAGAAAGTAGGAAGCTAACATCTGTTTTTAAACACATTTAGTTTTTGTTTAAATTCATTAAATATTATGTGCTTAGATTATGCTATGCTTAGTTAGGGCAAGGTCTTCCAGGCAAAATGAACATGTTACATTAATGAACTCTCTCCTGATTTAAAGTTAACAATAAATCCTGTAAATGAAAAATAAAACAAAATAACAGGAGTGATGGTGCGTACGTTTGAAAGTAAAATGCTACCTTATCGATCCTCGTCCTTGTGTGCATTGTGCAGGTTTCTGGAGTACACCCTGGACCCCACTATGATTCGGAAACAGGATGCAACCAACACCATCGTGAGGATTGCCAGCAATGTCGTTGGGCAGTCTCTGGCTTGGGACTTCATCCGAGCCAATTGGGAGTACATCTTCACCGAGTAAGTTCAACTTCATGCACACTGCATCCCACTTTCATTGCCAGACGGGTGTACGGAGATCAAGGCTCGTGTGCTCCTGTTTCACGTGTTGATGTGTGTACGCGTGTCCTCTGATTGGTCGCAGGTATGGAGGAGGCTCCTTTTCCTTTTCACGCCTCATTGAAGGAGTTACGGGACGATTCTCAACAGAATATGAGCTCAAGCAGGTGAGGAAAGCACACGTTAAGCCACAGCGACATGGACTCATAAAATACCAATCCATGTTATTCATTGCGTGCGTGCACGCATATACTGTGCGTATGAGTACATACACGATGTACGTGTATTATTTTAGAGGTGTGATGAGAACAGATGAAGTGAATAATCACTTCCTTCACTTAGTTATTTCTCACATTTTGCCTACGTTAACTCCAGTGTCAGAGTTAACGAGCGTGCAGGCGGTGCAATTGCACAGGGGTCCATGGGCCAAAATGGACCCGGGTTCCAAGCTACAAAGAGAGCGAAAATTGGATATGGGGCCCCATTTTATTCCTTGCACCAGGGTCCATGCCACCGCACTATACAATGCTTTTCGCGTCCCTAATTATCTCCGCCCGACTGAGCTCACCTCTCCCTTCTCGCCTCTCCTCAGCTGGAGCAGTTCAAGGCCGACAACCAGGAAGTCGGCTTCGGGTCCGGAACACGAGCGCTCGAGCAGGCCCTGGAGCGCACCAAGGCCAATATCAAATGGCGTGCAGAGAACGAGAAACGGATTGACGAATGGTTCATCGACTACATCAACCCATAGGAGGCCCACAGTTCACAGGATGACACAAAAACATTTCACTGCCTGCAATGAGTTTATATTTTGAGAAGAGAGAATTGCCTTTAAATGCCACGACTGGCAGCATGCGATGTGATTAATTAATTGTTACAAAAATTGTTGCATTTTACTCTGGCCAATGTTCAAGAACTACAAAAGTTAAAATGTCCAAACATGTAAATCAAAATGTAATTTTCAGACTTTCAGACTGCACACGTGGAATGTTTGCATATTTTAGGTGTTGGCGAAGAAAACATTTAGTTGTTTCATATAAAAGATCACTTTTGCACACGCAGTATAAGAAATAAAGAAAGGTTTTCATTATGTTTTCTAAGCTTAATAAAGATCATGTCTGATTGATTAATTGCATTACATTTATATAAATGTATTTTAAAATCTCAATGCGTTAATAGTAATTGTGGTTACTGTAATAAAGTAAGTTCATGACTTGGAGAATAACTTCGTTGTTTGATGAAAGTCAATGCATCTGAACTTGAAGACAGTTGTAATTTAAATGTATAATGTGAAAATGACAGCTGTACAAATGTCATGCTACATTTCTCAAAAAAAGATGATTAGTATAAGGAAACAATACATTTTTAAATTTTGATTTAAAGCTTTCGTGACTGCAGTAATTCATATTCTTAGTTTTTTCGGTAAAGTCACGTTGAAGAGAAACAACAAAATAATAAAATATATATAAAACAATAAAAAAAATTCTCACGACGTTTCGACCATAACTCAAACGGTCGTCTTCAGGTGTGTTGGTTCGCATAAATTTATTTTTAAACGGCGCATTTATTTATTTATAAAAAATGTTAGCGCCACGCGCAACGATTTAGCAGTTTACCCAGGACTAGTCCATCTATATTCTGAAAAGAGGAGGGGGGAGACGAAATTTTTTATAATGTATGCTGTCTGAAAGCCACTGTAAGCGTGAACAATCAATTAAGACCTGAAATGGTTTATCAAATCTTTCCAATGATTGCTAAGATAGAATCCATCTTCTCGGTTGAAATTGTCTCTGTGCTTGTATATGTGGATAGCCTCATGAACGAATCTCTCATGGAAGCCAGATGGCTTACAAAGAACCTCTGTCTTGGAAAAGTCAATGGCATGTGAGCCTACTGAATTAGAACAATGATCTGCCACGGCCGAGGTGTTGGTCCTACCGTGTTTAAGGTCTGCTTTGTGTTCACGAATGCGGTCCGAGACATGGCGTTTGGTTTCTCCAATGTAACTACTACCACAGAGGCAACTTAGTTTGTAGACACCAGGGTATTGTATGTCCGGAATCACATCTTTTACAGACGGAACCAGATCACGGATTTTATGTAATGTGTTGAAACGGACCTGGATCTTGTGTTTATTCAAGATTTTGGAGATCTTTTTTGTGATCCCAGCAATGTAGGGTAAAGTGATGGTTTTGAAAGGCTCCTCAAGAGGGTTCTTCTTCATGGTTTGAGTGATAGCTTTGCGGATTGTATAGTCGGAGTAACCATTAGCCCTAAGAGCTTGGTGTACGTGCTTGAGTTCACTGCTTATGTGTTCCTGGTCGGATATGCATTGGGCTCTATGATACAGAGTCTTGATGAGAGAATTCTTCTGTGATGGATGGTGGTGGGAATCCGGTTTCAGATAAGCATCCGTATGGGTAGCTTTCCTGTAGACAGAGTGGCTCATTGAACCATCAGGTCTCTTTTTAATTAGGACATCCAAAAAAGGTATCTTGCCATCTATTTCGACTTCCATGGTAAATCTGATGGCTGGGTGTATGGAATTGATGTGGTCGAAGAATTGGTCTGAAATTTAGCATAAAATTCACTTGAAAATATTCAACGTCTCACTAAAACTGCAATTATAACTATAAAAAAATACATGAAACGTTATAGCAGAAAGAAGCAAAATGGAGAGTACAATTATAACAATCACATATTTATTCCATAGAATGAAAAGCCCTGGTAGAATCATTAAAATAAAAATGTTTAATAACAACAATAAAAAAATACAAAATGTATGCTTCTCCATTCTCCCATGGAGAAGCAAAATGCTCCTTCATGGAATAATAAAAGGTGACCTTAGTAAATTTAAATAATCAAATAGTTAATAATTAAAATTAATCAAAATTAGTGTTGTTATAACAATTCTATTTAATTAAGTAAAACGTGATGTTTATATTTATTTAAAGTTGCGCATTTTGACGTGACGTCACATTTCTCAAACCCCCCCCCTCCCCCCCTCGTCACATATCGTCACAAATATCTTACCCCCCTCCCCCCCTAGGTGCGTGACATCATTTATGGGCGGCCCCTATACGACGTATATTTACATGGAATGTACAGTGAGGGAAAAACGTATTTGATCCCCTGCTGATTTTGTACGTTTTCCCACTGACAAAGAAATGATCAGTCTATAATTTTAATGGTAGTTTTATTTGAAGAGTGAGAGACAGAATGACAACGACAAAATCCAGAAAAACGCATGTCAAAAATTTAAAAAATTGATTTGCATTTTAATGGGGGAAATAAGTATTTGACCCCCTCTCAATCAGAAAGATTTCTGGCTCCTAGGTGTCTTTTATACAGGTAACGTATAAAAGACTCCCTTTAAGACTCCCTTTAAGAGTGTGCTCCTAATCTCAGCTTGTTACCTGTATAAAAGACACCTGTCAACAGAAGCAATCAATCAATCAGATTCCAAACTCTCCACCACGGCTAAGACCAAAGAGCTCTCCAAGAATGTCAGGGACAAGATTGTAGACCTACACAAGGCTGGAATGGGCTACAAGACCATTGCCAAGCAGCTTGGTGAGAAGGTGACAAAAGTTGGTGCGATTATTCGCAAATGGAAGAAACACAAAAGAACTGTCAATCTCCCTCGGCCTGGGGCTCCATGCAAGATCTCACCTCGTGGAGTTGCAATGATCATGAGAACGGTGAGGAATCAGCCCATAACTACACGGGAGGATCTTGTCAATGATCTCAAGGCAGCTGGGACCATAGTCACCAAGAAAACAATTGGTCACACACTACGCCGTGAAGGACTGAAATCCTGCAGCGCCTGCAAGGTCCCCCTGCTCAAGAAAGCACATATACATGCCCGTCTGAAGTTTGCCAATGAACCTCTGAATGATTCAGAGGACAACTGAGTGAAAGTGTTGTGGTCAGATGAGACCAAAATGAAGCTCTTTGGCATCAACTCAACTCGCCGTGTTTGGAGGAGGAGGAATGCTGCCTATGACCCCAAGAACACCATCCCCACTGTCAAACATGGAGGTGGAAACATTATGCTTTGGGGGTGTTTTTCTGCTAAGGGGACAGGACAACTTCACCGCATCAAAGGGACGATGGACGGGGCCATGTACCGTCAAATCTTGGGTGAGAACCTCCTTCCCTCAGCCAGGGCATTGAAAATGGGTCGTGGATGGGTATTCCAGCATGACAATGACCCAAAACACACGGCCAAGGCAACAAAGGAGTGGCTCAAGAAAAAGCACATTAAGGTCCTGGAGTGGCCTAGCCAGTCTCCAGACCTTAATCCCATAAAAAATCTGTGGAGGGAGCTGCAGGTTCGAGTTGCCAAAAGTCAGCCTCGAAACCTTAATGATTTGAAGAAGATCTGCAAAAAGGAGTGGGACAAAATCCCTCCTGAGATGTGTGCAAACCTGGTGGCCAACTAAAAGAAACGTCTGACCTCTGTTATTGCCAACAAGGGTTTTGCCACCAAGTACTAAGTCATGTTTTGCAGAGGGGTCAAATACTTATTTCCCTCATTAAAATGCAAATCAATTCATAACATTTTTGACATGCGTTTTTCTGGATTTTGTTGTTATTCTGTCTCTCACTGTTCAAATAAACCTACCATTAAAATTATAGACTGATCATTTCTTTGTCAGTGGGCAAACGTACAAAATCAGCAGGGGATCAAATACTTTTTTCCCTCACTGTATAACCTCAGCCTAATAATAGTCACACTTGTGCAATTTATCACCTCAGCCAAGTGATAGCAATGTAATATTTGTGGGAAATTCATTACGTCTTGACTAAGTTGGAGATGCAAAATGTTATGACGTGGTTGGTGTGGCCATGGAAAGATAAGATGGGAGTCGAAATTGACGCTGAGGAACTTAATGTGGGTGGAGAAACGGATCATGGTGCCAGCGATGAATATGTTAGCAGGAAGCATGCCAGTGGTGAGTTACTGTTGGGTGCCAATCAGGATGGCTTTGGATTTAGAATAATTAATTTTATACATGCCGTTTATGTGTGGAATTAGTAACGTCATCGATGATAAATAACTGAAAGATATTAAATTATTTTACAATTAAGCAACTACTGTGCACATGCACAGAAATCGATCCTCAGAAGCAATAGTTTTGATTTACAGAATGTTAACACTAAAATAAGGAAGACTTCCGTGCCAATGTAATGGAAAAATACATGCTTGGAATTAGGTTAAGGAAATGGATCACAGAACATTAAGGAGGTTAATTACATAATTCACACCATTCAGATAAGTAAATGGGCTTTGGCCGGACACGTTGCTCGGAGGGACGATGGACAAAGGTCGAGAAGATTAATGGAGTGGCAGCCGAGGAATAGTATATGCAGGTGCTAAATTGATTGTCGCATCACAAGATCATGAGACGTGGCGGTGCCTTGGCGAGGCCTTCATTCAGCAGTGGAATAATGTATGTATGTTGAACTTCTCGCGCACCGTACCAACCGTGCTAATCGGAGGTGCCATGATCATGGCCGATGACAATGAGGAGAAAGGTGGGAAATGAAATGGTTCAATGCTGACTTTGACATTCCTAGAAGACACTTGTGTAACCATGAACCACATTAGAAAACCAACTAGCTGATGCGCACACATCTTCTTCGTCAATGTCAAAATGAAAGATGCGAGCCACAGCAGTGTGGTTGTGGCATATGGAACGCAAACTATGAAGCATATCGTAAACGACTGCGGTCTGTGGTCCTTCTGTTAGTGACTAACAGACCTCGGGCATTGGCATTGAGCGTGTGAACATTTTTTCCGAAACTATGACCTCCTGCATATATTAGGCAACTTTACTGTTTTATCTTATCGCATGGACCTAGATATGGGGTGGACAAAAACTAGGCTCTACAGGGACATAATGTAATCAAATTTAGCTCGAAGAACCCGTTATCTTATTGTGTAAGGAATCGTTATCATTTACTGTCCTGGACTTATCTTGGTTTTACAATTTGAATGTGAATCACCAGCAAATAGTTTGCAGAGACACAGGATTTCAATGGGCGAGTCAGGTCAGAGTTTTTGCACGCAACGTTCTAGATAGAGGCCATGTGTGTGGAAGTTGGGGGGCAGCCAGCAAGGTCATGGAAAAATTTAAGGTCTTTTTCCCTCCCCCACGAATTTGATCACAATTATGCTATGGGTACTGTCATGAGACAAATAATCCATTCCAAACTCTTGCAGAACCGGCTCAACAATCCACGTTAGAGAACAGACAAAAAGCAGATGTCACATAACTACCCCTGAAATCCCCACGAGTGACTTCTAATGCACACGAGGGGTGTA